GAACGAGAGCTTCTGCCCCTACTCCGACAACTGCTGCAGATATTGACTATGAGGCTACAGTCACTGAATGCCGCATAGATCTGCTGCTCAACTAATTTAACACAGATAGGATAGCTTCTTATGTATTAGGATATTTAATATTAAGGTAAATAAATGGTGGCGAAGGTGTGGCTATTGGGGGAGGCTGGAGGCCACGTTTAAAAAAAAAAAAAAAAAAAAGTAGTAGTAGTAGTAGGAGCAACGATTGCTGCAGGTTCCAGAAAATTTGAAAAAAAAAGTAGCTATAGCGCAGGAGGTGGGCTCCTCGAACTGGTTAACTACGTTACTGATAAGGGCAAATGGTTTCAGTCTTAACAAACAAGAATTTACAGATGCCATTGCTCTAAGGTACGGTTGGCCAGTAGAAGGTTTGCCCTCCCAATGCGGGTGTGGCTCTTCCTATGATGGCGATCACGCCATGGTGTGCAAGAAAGGGGGCTTCATATGCATGAGGCATGACGAGGTAAGGGATCTCACAGCAAATATGTTGAAGGAAATCTGCCGGGACGTCATGGTAGAACCGACCCTCCTTCCATTGGATGGCGAGATCTTCCAACATAGGACTTCAAACACATCTAACGAAGACCGTGTTGACGTCAGTGCTCGAGGATTCTGGACGTGGGGACAGCGAGCTTTCTTCGACATCAGGATTTTTTATCCTATGGCCGCATGTCGCCATAACCTAGCTCACGATGCTGCACATAGGAGGAACGAGAACGACAAGATAAGGGCATATGGGGAGAGAATCCAAAACGTTGACCAAGGCAGCTTCACTCCCCTAGTGTTCACAACCTCTGGTGGGATGGGACCAAGTGCAAGATGTTTCTACGCCAGACTCGCGGAGGTGATCTCCGAACAGAAGCAGCAGCCCAGAAGTTTCGTTACAGCCTGGATGAGATGTCGACTGTCTTTCTCTCTCCTTCGGTCGGCTTTGCTCTGCCTCAGGGGAACGAGAGCTTCTGCCCCAATTCCGACAACTGCTGCAGGTATCGACTATGAGGCTACAGTCACTGAATGCCACATAGATCTGCGGCTCAACTAATTTAACACAGATAGGATAGCTTCTTATGTATTAGGATATTTAATATTCAGGTAAATATATGGTGGCGAAGGTGTGGCTATTGGGGGAGGCTGGAGACATTAAACGCAAATATTGCTCGTGTTCACCGGCGATCTTCAAGTAAGCCTGTGAGTGTTTGAATGGTGGGTGGCTGGAGTTGCCAAGTGTCAGTGCCAGTGTGTCGATAGGCCTACCCTAGCAAGGGTGGCATCGCGACTCTCGCCCCTATGAGGCCAAGTGCCTCAAGTAACGGTCACTCCATGTAGTGTCGGCTGACCCAGTGAGTATATATAACTAATGTTACATCAGCGAGACCATAGAAATGGTGGCTATCTCTACCAAAGTGGCATAATCAAGTGTTAGGTGTGACAATTCATGCTCCCAGTGGATTATTCTCATGTGTGGATTATCGCCCACATGGGGGGTGCCCGACACAACCACACGCGCGCGGATGCCCTTACAACCCTGACACCGAAGGCCAGGCTGTCACCCCTGTGCCTCATACGCATAAGATCTAGTTCCTTCGTCCGTATGGGCCCAATAGCAGAGGTCGGAGGCGGAAATATCTGTCGCCCAAGTTGCTGGAAACTATGCCTGGCAACAGTCTTTGCTGCGTCTGTGCTAGCCCGAACCAAAACTGCACAAATTGTTTTTGTGCGAGAAACAATCGATCATGTGTGGATTGCAGGAAGCTAGACCAGTGTAGGAACCCACGTGGCAGGGAGCCGACACAGGCGGCCACAGTGGATATCGCCGGGACCCATCCACCCGATGATATCCCAAATGATAGCAGTGAGTCTACTCAACCCGAAAATGTAGTACTAATAAATGCTGCTCCCTCAGTAGCAGGTGTCCAGGAGGAGAATGAGAGACTGCCGCCTCAGTGGAAAGGCATGTCGATGGAAAATGCAGGCGTATGGGTCAAAGAAACCTACTCAGAAATTGTCAAGTGGTCGCCCGCTAACTTATTTGAACCACCCAAGTGTGCGGCCACCAAAGAAATGATTCGGGAGATGACTTTCTTCATGACTGATTACACTCAGGACCGCTTCCTCGCCCCCCTAGCTCTTCAAATACTGGCAATAATACCACATCTATTTTGTCAGAGGACACACACAAAGGCTAAGCACAAAGAAAATGTGGCAGCAATGAAGAGAAGGTTGACAATGTGGCGGACTGGGGCCCTAGATGATCTCCTATGTGAAGCAAGAACACTGCAGGAGAGACTAAAATCTATGGGTGACGGAAAGCAAAACACCGATGACGTGGCAAGAAAATTTGGAAACAAAATGCGTGTGGGAAAAGTGTCTCTCGCGGTAAGATCTCTCACTCAGGAATCTTCCGGTGGGGTGATGCCAATAAACAGAGCGACTTTACAACTACTGAAAGAGAAACATCCCCCTGCAAGTGAAGATGAAGGCATCAGGCTCCAGGGTGCCTATATGCCACCAAATGCTGTCCTGTTCGAGAAAATAACAGGAGAGATGGTGTGGAAAAAGGCACTGAAGACTCGTGGAGGAGCCGGCCCTTCAGGTCTGGATGCAAACGGTTGGAGAGTCATCCTCAGCACTAACAAGTTTGGCCCTGTAGCAAGCGAACTCTGCACTGCCATTGCCACCCTTGCAAGAAAGCTTGCATCCTCTTGCTGCCATCACCTCCAGGCTCTGACGGCCTGCCGCCTTATTCCTCTGGAAAAGAATCCAGGATGTAGACCTATAGGGGTGGGGGAAGTGCTGAGGCGGATCATCGGAAAGTGTATAATGGAGGTGGTAAAGGATGATGTCAGGGCAGCAGCAGGGAACCTACAAGTGTGTGCTGGCCACCAGGCTGGTGGGGAGGCGGCCATTCACGCCATGAGATTGATATTTGAGCAGCGTGATTGTGAGGCCGTTCTCCTGGTGGATGCTTCAAACGCATTCAACATACTTAACCGCAAGGCTGCACTGCACAACATCAAGATCAAGTGTCCTAGCTTTGCGATGTATGTTGAAAATTCGTATAGGAATCCTTCAGACCTCTACATAGTAAACAACAAGGCTCTACGAGGTGATACCATCCTACAGTCGACCGAGGGAACAACACAGGGGGACCCCGTTGCAATGGCAATGTATGCAATAGGCCTATCAGTGCTCCAACAAGAAATAAAGTATGAAACAACTGGGGTCAAACAAGTGGCATATGCTGATGACCTCACAGGAGCAGGAAAAGTGGAGGACATCAAAAAGTGGTGGGACCTGGTAACATCGCGAGGTCCACATATAGGGTACCACCCTAACGCCAGCAAATCCTTCCTCATCGTGAAGCCGGATCATTGTGATCGGGCTGTGGAGGTTTTCGGCGATAGTGAGGTCAAAATAACTAAGGACGGCCAAAGACATCTAGGCGCAGTAATTGGCACTACGGACTTCAAGACCCAGTACGTAGGGGGAAAGGTGAATGAGTGGGTTAGCGAAATCCATGCTCTATCGGAGATTGCTAACACAGAGCTACATGCGGCCTTTGCAGCATTCACACATGGAGTCAAGCATCGTTGGAACTACCTGATGCGTACCATCCCTGAGATCCGACCCCTCCTCCACCCTTTGGAAGAAGCAATCAGTGTCAAGTTCATTCCCAAACTAGTGAAACACCATGACTTAACCCTAGTAGAAAGAACACTTCTTGCACTTCCACCAAGACTGGGAGGGATGGGACTAACTAATCCAGAGGAGATTGCTGACTCTGAACATCAAAATTCACTTAAGCTCACGGCAGCCCTCACTGACCACATAATAGCCCAGAATGCAACAGGGGAAGTGGACACCAGCGAAGTTAATAAGATCCGTAGGTCCATTACAACAGATCGGCAGCACTGCCAAAATGACATGTTGCAGCAACTATTGCTGCTGGTTCCAGAAAATTTGACAAAAAAAGTAGCTATAGCGCAGGAGGTGGGCGCCTCGAACTGGCTAACTACGTTACCGATAAGGGCAAATGGTTTCAGCCTTAACAAACAAGAATTTACAGATGCCATTGCTCTAAGGTACGGTTGGCCAGTAGATGGTTTGCCCTCCCAATGCGTGTGTGGCTATTCCTATGATAGCGATCACGCCATGGTTTGCAAGAAGGGGGGCTTCATATGCATGAGGCATGACGAGGTAAGGGATCTCACAGCAAATATGTTGAAGGAAATCTGCCGGGACGTCATGGTAGAACCGACCCTCCTTCCACTGGATGGCGAGATATTCCAACACAGGACTTCAAACACATCTAACGAAGCCCGTGTGGACGTCAGTGCTCGAGGATTCTGGACGCGGGGACAGCGAGCTTTCTTCGACATCAGGATTTTTGATCCCATGGCCGTTTGTCACCGTAACCTAGCTCTCGATGCTGCGCATAGGAGGAACGAGAACGACAAGAGAAGGGCATATGGGGAGAGAATTCAAAATGTTGATCAAGGCAGCTTCACTCCTCTAGTGTTCACAACCTCTGGTGGGATGGGACCAAGTGCAAGATGTTTCTACGCCAGACTCGCGGAGTTGATCTCCGAACAGAAGCAGCAGCCAGAAGTTATGTCACAGCCTGGATGAGATGTCGACTGTCCTTTTCTCTCCTTCGGTCGGCTTTGCTCTGCCTCAGGGGAACGAGAGCTTCTGCCCCAATTCCGACAACTGCTGCAGATATCGACTATGAGGCTACAGTCACTGAATGCCTCATAGATCTGCGGCTCAACTAATTTAACACAGATAGGATAGCTTCTTACGTATTAGGATATTTAATATTAAGGTAAATAAATGGTGGCGAAGGTGTGGCTATTGGGGGAGGCTGGAGGCCTCATTAAATAAAAAAAAAAAAAAAGTAGTAGTAGTAGTAGTAGTAGTAGTAGTAGTAGTATTTACTGTATACACCCCTTCTTCGTCAGATTTCCTCACCGGCCGAATCTTAAGGTAGCGATATTGGGCCTACCAAGTCAGCATTCCGTGATGGTTGATGACCCCAGCGCCCCAGAAAGGAAACGACTCAATATCATTGAACCGCCAGCCGAGTTGCTGGGAAGGTTATCAAAAATTCACAATTTTACGTAAGCCTGTGCGTATTTATTATGTCCTACAACAACAAATGAAGAAAATTACTGGACTTCTTATCTTATGTGAATATTATATTTCCATATTGAATAATTTGACTTAATATATACTATGTTACATGATGTCTATTCAGGTACTTTTTAGCAGCAGTCATTCGAGAGATAGCATGTATTTCACTCCATTGGCAGTGTTGTTAACCAGGAAAATGACATCCAATGAACAGTAAAATCATACACAAAATTAAGAATTGCCTTATAAATAGAACTATTCAAATGGAATTGTTCATTACACTTCATAATTTTACAGGTTCACGTTTATACGACCTAAGGATAGGATCATCGGTTCTCAGCATCCCAATGGAACTTGGAATGGCTTGATTGGTATGTTGCTGAGAGGGGTAAGTTCAGTATGATGGCCAGAAAGGTAGATGTAGTTTGTACTGTAGGCTTGTCATGACTCGGTTTACTATATATCTATGCTTTCGGGTGAGATAGAAGTGAGTTGCTGTATAACATATAATAATTATTTAAGTACTTCTAGAATTATAATGATAGGTCACTGCTGCCAGGTCCAGAAATGAAATTATTTGCCCAAACCCAAAAGTATTTTCATTATTTCTTATCTATCTCGAATTTACGCTAAAACTAATTTTTCTACAACACCAACAACAACAACAACAACAACAACAACAAACGGTTAATTGAAAAAGTTCTGCAGCCCGAAGGCTGAAAATATACATTGGACATAAATGACTTATTACATGCATTGGTGGTTTAACAAAAGCCTTCATTAGAGAAAAGTTAAGGAACATACAGTGAACAAACAGATTAATGTAGGTGTTGAACAGAAAACACGTAGTGTAGTAACTCTCTCCCAGATGGCGTTAGGAGGGACCTCACGTGATGTGGTAATTCCCTCACAGATGGTATTATGAGGGACCTGACGTGGTGTAGTAATTCCCTCACAGATGGTGTTATGAGGGGCATCACGTGGTGTAGTAATTCCCTCACAGATGGTGTTATGAGGGACCTCACGTGGTGTAGTAATTCCCTCACAGATGGTGTTATGAGGGACCTCACGTGGTGTAGCAATTCCCTCAAAGATGGTGTTATGAGGGGCATCACGTGGTCTACGAATTCCCTAACAGATGGTGTTATGAGGGACCTCACGTGGTGTAGCAATTCCCTCACAGATGGTGTTATGAGGGACCTCACGTGGTATAGTAATTCCCTCACAGATGGTGTTATTAGGGGCATCACGTGGTGTAGTAATTCCCTCACAGATAGTGTTATGAGAGACCTCACGTGGTGTAGTAATTCCCTCACAGTTGACCTGGCTGCTCCCAGAGGAGCGCCAAATACGTCTTGACCCTTCGGATATTCTGTTAATGTATATTATTTACAAAGTGTTGAAGAGAAGCGAAATAGGCATAAGACTTCCAAACATGCCTTAACTAATATCTGGAACTTCGTGCTAGATGTCCAGGCCACCCAACCCAAAGAGAGGTTTTTAATTTAACACAACCTAATTGGTATAGATGTCAGTTTTTATAATTATTGTTATGCTTACCGTAGACTCTGTGCTGTACGCCATATTATTCACTCTATGCCAATCATGTCTGGAGCCTTTATCAATCATTACATGTAACATAATTATGTGACTGAAGTTTTCTTAAGGAAAACCGAAAGAAAAATAGAAAGTTTCAACCAGATATGTCGAACCCCTTAGAGCCTGTTTTACGGTGGGTGGTCGAGACACGAAGGATAAGGAAACTAATTAAAAAATAATTAATATAAATACAATAAATACGCGGAAGCTAAGGTTCAGTAATGCAGCAGCAGTAATGATGCAACAGGTCCTCGAGGTGGTAAATATATTCTTTCCAGTTCCGCTCAAAAGCAATTATATAATCTAGGTAAGCAAACCCGGCGTGACCAGTTGAAGCAATGATGCGATGTAAGCTTCAAGCTACATCTCAAACTGAAATGCTTAGAAATTAAAATAGGCTCAAATTATAAAAACAAACTCAGTCACATGAAGACTGGCAACAGCAAATGGTGGCTGATGATATACCCCTGACGTAAACTTAAAGGAAGAAAATACTTCCACTGACTCAGTTCATGTAAAAATAAGTAAATGTAGAAAAGAGCATAATGATCTTCCTCTGTTTCTGACAGTATGTTTATGGAAGTCGATAAAGTCTTAATTCTTCAACCTTTTCAACTCCTGGTACAAAAAATTTGAAGAACGCAAAATCCTGTTGGCTAACAAATCCAAGAATTTTGTCTATGTAGTCTCTAAGGCATGGGGCAGCATTTTCACAAACCTCATGAAAATGAGAGTTTGTGAAGGCTCCATCAGGCAAGAAGATTATTTGAGGATGCTTGCGAAGATCTCTCAACTCACTTTTGCTATTCTGATTACACGTAAACATAGTTTTAAGCTGTCTAAACAATTTACTTAACAAAGTAACTTTCGCAGTTATGCAAAAATTAAATCCCCATTGTTGCTGTCCTTAAAAACAGGTGTAGTACCAGAATCCTGGAGGATAGCGAATGTAATACCGATTTTCAAGAAGGGGGATAGATCACTATCCTCTAACTACCGCCCAATCAGTCTAACCTCAATAGTAGGCAAATTACTGGAAGCAATCATTTCAAACTCTATTCGAAATCACCTGGAGAAGCACCGATTGATCAATGATTCCCAGCATGGCTTCACAAGCGGACGTTCTTGTCTAACTAATCTATTAACATTCTTTTCATCAGTTTTCGAATCGGTGGACGAGGGGCACAATTATGATGTGGTATATCTCGACTTTAGCAAAGCCTTCGACAGAGTCCCCCACGAAAGACTAATTAGAAAGGTAGAAGCTCATGGCATCAAAGGTAACATCCTTAAATGGATTAGAGCGTGGTTACAGGACAGGAAACAACGAGTGAGTATTAACGGCACGAAGTCCCATTGGAGCAACGTCACAAGTGGAGTTCCCCAAGGCTCAGTACTGGACCATTATGATTTATTATATACATAAACGACATAGATATCGGCATAGACAGCAACATAAGTAAATTTGCTGATGACACTAAAATAGGACGTGTTATTAAATCTGACGAGGACTCAGCAAAACTACAGGAAGATCTAAACAAATTGTTCGAATGGTCTGAAAAATGGCAGATGAAATTCAACGTGGACAAATGTAAAGTACTCAGTATAGGAGATGTAAACAGGGAAACCAGATACCAGATGAACAACGATGCCATAGAGAAATCCGACTGCGAGAGAGATTTAGGAGTAATGATAAGTAGGAACCTTAAGCCAAGTAAACAATGTGATTTTGCTCGTAACAAGGCTAATAAAGTACTTGGGTTCATACAAAGGAGTGTTAGTTACAAGACTAGCGAGGTCATCCTAAAACTGCATCTTGCTCTTGTGAGACCACACCTGGATTACGCAGTTCAGTTCTGGTCACCGTATTACAGAATGGATATAGAATCCTTGGAAAGAATTCAGAGGAGAATGACAAGACTAATCCCGGGCATTAGGAACCTTGAGTATAGAGACAGGTTAAAGCATCTTAATTTGCACTTCCTCGAGAGACGTAGAGCGAGGGGCGACCTGATAGAGGTGTACAAGTGGAAGGCAGGGCTAAACAAAGGGGACACTACAAAGGTACTCAAACTATCCAACCAAGAGCGAACTCGTAACAATGGTTTTAAACTAGACAAATTTAGATTTAGGCGGGAAATAGGTAAACACTGGTTTGGAAACAGAGTGGTGGATGAATGGAACAAGTTACCAAATATCATCATTAACTCGAATACCTATGGGAGTACATTGGCAACCCTGAGCCTCACCGCACTGTTTGTAAACTTTGTGGCCAACCCGACTCTCACACCCTCTCTCACTACATCCTCACTTGCCCTATGACCTCCTCCTATAGGTCCCCAGCCGTTACCAACACCTCTTCCCTCCCAGACCAGATATCCCTCCTCCTAGTCACAGGCCTGGCATTTGACATTATTAGGGACCTGCCACTCTTTGCCATAAACAGATAAAATGTACCGGGAACTTTCCCCCCACACACTCATCATTCTCTCACTTTATGTAACTTGACAGAACCTATGACCCTTCAGGCTTTTACGCCCTTAATGTACGAGTCATAAAGGCAAGTATGAACTTTTCATACTTCCCTGTTGGGCGCTGTAAACGCTTCTGCGCTTCACCTTGCACAGGATGTAAGGGGGTGCCCAATAAACTAGCCCCCTCGGGGGCAAACCTGAAATCTGAATTAACTCGAATACGCTGAATAGCTTCAAACATAGGTTGGGTGTATAATGAGACAAATCTCACAAGAAGAGAAGATGATTACATATAAGTAGGAGAAGTATAGAGAGTAGGAATGTAAAGATAGGAAACTTGGTAGCGTGGCCTGGATGTTATTTACTCAGCGTCAATACGCTTATCCTATCTCGTATGTCAATACACATATATCACTTCTTAAAGGGGCAACTTGTTAAACACCTCTTCGATACAACTATTTATTAATTCACTCAATGACATGGACACATTAATATCACTATTATATCGGGGTACTAACACATTATGCTTTACGTTACTTGACACTGACTCTCGGACACACCTGAATGAATACACTTCCCACAGTAGGTAACTCACCCAAGGACGTTCTGACAAGACTCACGTGTACCCTGACGTAGGCCCAGTGAGTGCTGGCTGGGCTGCCTCCTATGGGAGAATCTGCTCAGCTGGCGAAGCCGTGGTCTGGTCGGGAGGTCCCCCTCCCGACCTGGGGAGGGGACGTGCGTGACTCTGCTTAGTGAACCGAGTGACGACCCGAACGGGAGAGAGATGACAGCAACCAGAATGAGAATCAGTATGACCAGAATAATCCGTGGACGGGACTGCAGGGCCTTTATATGGGGGAGGAACAGCCGGCGTTTTGACCTCTGCCAATTAACACTAAACTGGTTTGATCTGGATAGCTGTGTGCAGGTGTGGTCCTGCCCAGGTGTCTTGGTTAGGTGCGGTTGTAGGTCACCCGGCTCACGTCATTAGCGGGCGAGGTCAAGTCCCTTGGGTCGACCTGAGGTGTGTCAACCCGGAATGTGGTGGTACCACGAGGTCTGTAGTGTACTTGCTGTTATATGCGGCATAATTCTGGGCTGTAAGGTTTGGTCTGACAATCAATCATTACAGATGCTTATATGAGCAATAGGGGTTGGGTGTAAACGGGACTGCCCTGTATGGGCCAATAGGCCCGCTGCAGTTGCCTCCATTCTTATGTTCTTATGTTCTTATGGTGAAGACAATGTCTCTTCTTGCAGCAGACATAATAGATAGACTCTTCAGCATTCGGGATTATATATTTACAGTTGGGACACGACTCTAAATCTGGTTACTTTCATTTCCATTTAAATTCACAGTGTCCGAGCACATTACAGGAGCCTTATTCGATTACTCACAAAGGTTTCAAGAATTCAAATTCCCGGTCTGAATTAAATGTACTAAACGACATACTTATTGAAGTTACCTGTAGAGCTACCAAATATAATTTAAGACTCTCAAATAAACTTAATGGCGAGGTGAATTGCAGCCACCATCAGCCACTGTCACAAGTTCCCAGTCTTATTATAACTTGTATCACCAGAGTGGCAAGCCGCCTAAAGAAGAGCCCCGACTGAGATACAGTTGCTTGGCCTTGAATCTGAACGCTGGTTAAGAGCCACTTATATTCATAGTTAGGGCGTACTTTACAAATAAAAGTCTGATTGAAGCAATGTGCGCCGTAAAATGGAATATCTAAAAAAAAAAAAAAATGCTGCTATTAACATACTTATTGCACGCCCCCGTCCCCTCCCCACCACATGGGGAAGTCCGAAGTAGAATCAAGGACTCGTATATCCAGTCAGCGAGGACATCTGTGGTGGGGTTTGCTTCTCCTGGGAGACCAAACAGGTGGCAGGGAGAAACTGACGTGGCGCTTTGCTTGTCTTCAAATGGTCATGGCGACCAAGTGAAGGTCAAAGGATCTTTCCCAAAACATATCTCAGATATTAAAGAAAAAGACTGATGGCTTCCGGGCAGATATCTGTGATGCATTGAACCAGTTCTCAGGTGTTCTGAGCAATGAGAAGATTCAAGGTCACATGAAGAATTTTGAAAAGATGTACACAGGAAATCCAAACTACAGGCCATGTTCGTCATACATGGAAATGGTACATATCCTGCTGGACTTCACTAGGGCTGCGAGAGATAGCAGTTAGTCTCTTCACCTTGAAGCATTTGCTGCATTGCTGCCATGGCTCACCATCTACGATCATACAAACTATGCTCGATGGGGACCTGTATATTTTACTGACAAAATGGGCCTTAAGATGACCTCACTAGAGGCTCGCGCTGAATTCAATGCTAGGAATTTGGTTGCAAAGAGAACTAAAAGGCGCTTCAACCATGTTCCTACTGATTAGGCATAATAGCATCATTAGATTTAAAAGGAATGATCAGGCCAGAGAAAAGTTCTGCATCACATGGTCACTTCAATTTATAAGATGGTGAGCAAGAGACCACTGTCACACGCTCTCGTACTCTTCCCTCTCGTATGAAGTGCAATGCTGATGCTGTTAAAAAACGTGTGGTACAGGAGAAGAAGTTTGATGTGTCTAATGTCCAGCCTGCAGAACCTCCTGGTTGGGTAGAAGGAGATGATGAAAGAATCCGCATATCCCTGCTCTCACTAGCAACCATAGATATTGCACTAAATGATGTGGTGAATGATCTGAATTATCTCCGAACAGCTGAAATCCGTGGAAAGAAGCAAATCTTTATGAATATGAAGCAACAGTTGGTTGAGCAGAACATAGATTTCCATGATGCACTAAAGAAACGCCGCTCAAAAACGTTTGCAGACTTGTACCAAGCAACCGTTTTCAAGAGACAGAAGGTTCCGAAATCTATCAAAGCTAACATAAAACTACTGCAGTAATTGCTCTGCGCTGTCTCCGTAGGTAGAACAGTGGTTATGGTGAACATGCTAGAGCATGAACTGTCTCCTATCTTTTCAGCCTTTAGCCAAGCATGGGAGGAGTGATGGATTCATCTTCAATGGCAGCCTTAAGGAAGCCACAAGGATGTCAGATATTTGGTTATTATATAAATGCATTAATGGGAATTGTGACACGTCACTTTGGTGAGCATACAACCAGAGTTGATGTGGTATTTGACTGCTACATTGCAGAGGAGTCAATCAAAGCAGTAACACGTTCCAAGAGACTGGGAAAGAAGTTTATCCGTAAACTGATCAATGAGCCATATATCCCACATGACACAAGTTTGAAGCATTGTCATAACCTTGAATGAGAACAAGGCCAACCTAGCCCAGTTCCTATCTGAAGCGCTCATGGGAAAGGGCAAGTCTCCACCAGAGTGATACGAGCTATTAACACAAGGATGATTCTCTGATGCTCCTGAAGCCAGATCTTCCATGAGAAACCATGTCCCCTTTCAATCAAACCATGAGGAGGCCAATACAAGACTTATACTACATGCATGTTAGGTGGCAAACAGGGGGTATGAGAGAATTCTGGTCAGCAGCCGAGACACAAACGTTATGCTTCTACTTGTGCACTTTGTGTCTGCAAAAACAACAGAGGTGTAGATGATCTCTGGAACTAACAAGAAGCGAAAAAGTTATCAAATACACACTTTTTCCCAAAAGCTTCCCCAAGAAGTGAAGGAAAATCTTCTTAGCTTTCACGTCCTAACTGGATGTGACACAGTCTATTCTTTCAGTAGACAGGGAAAAAAAGAAGTGTTGGAATACATTCTTGCAACATCCGCTGCTGGTGAAGGAATTGATCGTGATGGAAATCTTTCATTTGTTGAACAATTTGTGTGCCCCGTATATGGTACCCCAGAGCAGCTCAACATCAGCCACTTCAGACTTCAACTGCCTTCCAAGGCTAAGAAGAGCTTGGAGATGTTACCACCAACCAGAGATGCCCTGGTGTCATCTTGCTCCAGGCAGACCAAAAACACATAGATGTTCCCATCCTCACCAATACGATTGGCTGGAAGATGGAACAAGGTGGTCTGCAAGGTATCTAGACGAGAATGCCACCTATCCCAGATGAATGTCTCGAGCTCGTGACATGTAGATGCAAAACAAAGTATGGGACAGGCCCGTGCACTTGTTTAAAAAATAATCTAATGTGTATTCCCGCCTGTGGTTGTGATGCTGTAAGCTGCTGCAGTCCGGCTGGGCAGTGGACATGATAGCCTGATATCTTAGCAACGGAATTCTGTCAGGATTCAGTTGTACTGTAACTGAGTGGATTAAGAGGAATACAATACGCCGTTGTTCAGAGAGCATAGAGTGCATAGAAATGTCTTTGAAAGTGATGTGAAAGATAAAGTGGGGCGAGGAAGACCATGTACAGTGGAGAGAGGGTAATGGCAAAATAATGACAGAGAGCAAGAGAGTTGTGTCACAAAGTGACCAGGAGACGTTTCTGTCATGACAATCCCCTGTTGGTCGGGGGCTTCACAGGAGGGAACAAGGCATCGGAGATAATGAGTGGTGAAAGACATACTGTACCTCAAAGGCATAATGCTGTGGTGCAGACTTTTGTTTTGAGACAGATGGTTGAGAAATATTTTTTGTGTTACTGTATATTACATCACATATGTATATATATTTACAGAAACTGCTTTGTTTACTATGTACAAAAAACTTATCAAACAGATTTAGTTTGTGTTTTGACCTGAAAGATCCAGCAAATATGGTTTGAATTTGTGTGAAAATAAAAAAATATAAATGTTGACCTATTTTCACCAATGTTACTGTCTAAATCACGTTTAAAATAAAGATTGTGCTTGGCATCCACCCACAACTTCTTGTATTTTTTTTTCTAAGTAGAATTGATATAGCATGGATGCCTGCTATTAACACGTCAGTGCTGTCAAGGTTGGAATAGCCGATGACTACTGGCTAACTATTTCGTAAATTATAATTACAACCTTAAAAATTCCGAACATCCATCTTAAAATTCTTCCGTCTCTAGCACATACGGAAGCACCGAGCCGAACTTCGGTTCTAATATTGCGATTGTGGAAAGGAGGAAGATAAACACGAAATTCAATCGTACAATACCACAGTGCCATTTTCCCAAAAATATTCCATACACATTTTTTCACTTTGTTCTCAATCAGTTGTGTTCTTAATATTCTCCCTGAACTCTATATTTTCATCTAATATATTATTTCTCTGTCATAAAAACGTCTGGAATTGGTCTTGGATGAACTTAGGAAGTGGATATGAGTATTGGCCCCTTTGCCATTACTTACAGCCGTTTCCAAGCGGTGGAGTTCACCTGGCCAGTATGGATCGACACAATAACCATCTTGGCTCGTCGAGGAGTACCTGAGATTGACCCTTGGGGATTCCTATTTCCCCTGGCGTCGCTGGTGTGGGTGGCCATCTTGACAGTGTTGGTGGTAATGTCTACAACAATATTCCTTTGTTCTTCTTGTTTACCTCAGAAGCCCTTAAGTGTAAACAGATGGCTGGAAGACACTGAAAGTTACATCCGGGTGTTATTACAACAAGGTAAATAATTACATTGCTTAGTTACCTCAGCATTAATCAAAGGAACGTACAAACTTAATGGCTCTAGTTTTAATGTATATCGATATTAATCGGAGAAAAATATTAAGATGTCAGATAATCAAATTCAGGAACTAATAGATGATGGATTTCCTTTCTCTAAGAAAAATGTAATCTATTATTAAGGCATTTTATAATACAAGGATTCATATAAACCAATAAGTATTTGCAGAACATAAGGGAGTGTAATTTTAACAGAAGATATTCAGTCGTTATAAATCTTATATCTACGGAAAATACAACAGGTAATGGTTGACACTGTAGAGAGTGACAAATGCTAATTTGCCTTAATAGATATTACAGAGCCTCGGGACTGGTGGTGGTGGGAGCGATTGGTTTTCGTAGTGTGGATGTTGATGACGTTGGTGTTAACACGGAGCTACGCCGGCAACCTCATGGCCCTCCTGGCCGTGAGACACATCCCTGAGCCTTACCACAGTCTCCGGGCAGTACTAGATGACCCTTCTGTAACCATGACATGGCAAGACGGATCTGCACATGTACATTATTATCGTGTATGAAACTTATACATTTTATCAATCCTAAATTTATTTAAAACTTATTTTGGGAAAATCAATAAACTGTATTCAAACAGCAATGAATTAATTTTCTTCCCGTGTATTTTGCGGCCCAAAGCTTTATGATTAAAGCCTAATTGCTCCTTTCATCAAATTATTTTATCTGAGTATCAAAACAGTAAACAAGGCAGTCTCTTGTAACTCCTATCTTGACTACACTCTATATACATCACTCATCAATATGTTAGAATGATTTCGTTTATATGCTTGAGTTAATGAGTGGTAATCCCATCAAATTATTCTAAATTCTTCATTAAATAATAATACTATCACTTATATTTTATCTTCACGGCTGCTCTTACAATGATTTTCTATTTTTTGGTGATCTGAGAAGAGTCGGATAAAAATAGGAATTTTGGGCAAGCCATTTATATATTAGGTATATGGAAAGTGAGCTGAAGTAGGTAACATTTATAGCTTAACTT